ACTTATCAGCCCTTTTTAGATTCTAAGGGCCCACATATACATCTTACTCATCCATTAAGTACATCTTCCTCCCCCCTCCTCACACTTCCTCTCGTACATGATACATGTTTATTAGACACAATCTGCCAGTCAACTAGTTGGACACCCACTAACTGTTTTTTTACTGCAATTTTATGTGGATAAAATCTGACACTTCGCTCTTCTTTGTGTTGGTTTTGGTGGCTAAATTCATCAGTGGGGTTTCTACAAGTTCAACCAATGGGAAGTGGCAGGATCAACCGTCTGACCAACATAAATGCATGGGATGTGGAGGTTGGGGACTAGGCCTTGTTCAAGCTTGGGGTTACTGTAATCATTGTACACGGTATGTTGATCTCTTATATCATTCGGCAGTATTACTCTTTAGAACTTTACTTAACATTAATATATCCATTGATGTGGCGTACTGCAGATGCAATTTTTTAATTTGCAATCTTAAATGTTTCTATGACCTTACAGTTTTCAGCCCAAACCCTCGACAAATTCATACAAATATCTTGGTTCTTCTCATGGATTACGTGATATATGCTGCTATTGTTTTACTAAAAAAAATTTACATTGACTTTCAGAACTCTCGGCCTTCCCCAGTGTCAGTACTTGCCAACCAGCAATATTTATAATCAGCAGAAGACCGAGAACATCAAGAATAACGCTGATCCTTCCATTAAAAAATCTGCTTCAGATAGGTAATGGAACAGTCTTCTCACTTTAGACTAGCTTAAGTATTGATTCTGTTTCTTTATATAATATTAATATGACATACAGTACTAATTTTGCAATATTTGAAGTTGTTTAGTAGTTGAGCATAATTTTTTTAAAAGATTTGTGGGTTATGGTTTTCTAGAAGTTATTTTCTATTAGTTGCTTTGAGCGACATATGTAAGATCAACTAAAGCCATGTTGAAAATTATGGGTTGAGAGTAATGATTGACATACAGAGTAACTTCAATCTTTAACCTTGATCACAGTTGTTCGTTCTAACTATTGTATTGAACAAACTGCATCTAAATAGTTTTCTCCAGTGTTAATATTTGGTCGAACTTTGACCTCATGATCCCTAGTCTTAAAATTTATGGCCTCTTTATCCTTCAATGCACTTTTTGTTCTCTGTACTAGTTTTATCCTCTTTTCTTTTTCTCCCTTTTCATGGTGCGTTGGACGTTGGACGTTGGACTGACCTAATAATTAAGATATTGAAGATGTGCGCTAGCACTGTGGGTTTGTATCACTAAAGATCTAGAATCGTGGCATTGGATATTTTGTTCAAGTGTTCTGGCAACACGAGTGTCTTGGAGCTGATATTAACTTGGTCAACAATTTGAAAAATCCTTCGATTCTTTCATTTTGCAAAATAACAAATAACCAGCTATAAGCTTGTCAAAAATATAAAAAATTTGATGTGGCAAGAACCCACTGTGTAAGCATACATACTCATAGGTAGTAAATTGTGAAAGATTTTCTTACTATGTTTACATATCCGTGTGGAACCATTACACATTTTCTTCCTATCACATCAAATATGGGAACTTTGGCCATGCAACCTCTTTGGTTTAATTTTTCCTAATCCATGAACATTCTCACCTCTTGATTCTTTAGAGAACTCGGAGGATCTAGGTGTATGGATGAGGTTTCTGAAGACACTGCATAGCCACTTGATAGAAGCTAATTCAATTGGCGTAGAAAATGATTTTTACTCTCTAATCTCTCTGAGGAGATAACAATGGCCTCTACAACAAACTTCTAAATCTAGCTTGTACTCTTTATTTCAATAAAACAAAAGGCATGGTAAGCAAGAGAGATTTGCCTGTGGGAACAACTTACGAGTGATAACTAAGCTTGATAAAGGGCATATACTTGGTGATACTTATCTGAACCTTTCTTAACTATTCACCTTTTATATTTTATTTGTCTTGAAGCAGTTTTCTTGTGAGCTGATTTGATTGGGATTTGTTTTTATTCTCCTCTGGTACTTCTCAATAAATCGAGCTCTTTTTCCCACTAAAAAAATGTCTGTTATTTATGACATTAAATGGACAAAGTATATATTTATTATGACGCATTCAACATGTTTCACCATGTTCTGGTTTTCTGGGTGTGTTGTATGGATGTATGTTGCAGACTTTTTATGGCACAAGTTGCTACCATACTATACTGCCCTCTGAAGTCTACAACATTAAATTTGAATTATTATAACAGTTGGAATGATCTTAATCCTAGTATCATTATAATTTCATGACTTGATATGCAGACACAATTATCTATGCATACATGAAATTGTGGTTGGTCTTTATAATTCAAAATACTTCATCAAACTATTTAATACTCTTTATGTGTCCTGTTTTCTTCTTTGTTATAGTCTATGTAATGTAAAGTTTCCACATTTCTTTTTGCGGAAGGGGATGCATTACTCTGTCCAGAAATAGGGGGAGGATTAATTATTAAGCTATTGAGTATGGGTTTCCAGGTCCAAAGGGAAGCCTCCAATAGGGAAAGGTGGAAAGCGAGAAAGTAGGAAGCGTTCCCACAGTGAGGATGATGAATTGGATCCAATGGATCCTAGCTCCTATTCAGATGCTCCTCGTGGTGGCTGGTAGGTGTCCAAAATTTAGCTTTTTGGGTTTAATACTAAATGATTATTGAGGCCCATTTGATCACAACTTAGTTTTTGGTTTTTGAAAATTATGCTTATCTTTTCATCGATTGAGTTCTTTAGCCAAATTCCCAAAAAAAAAAAAAAAAAAAAATCAAAGCTTTAAAGAACTACTCTCTTAAAAAATTTCAGAACTTGATTTAGATTTTGGCTCTAAAAAGTAGATAACAAAACTGAAAGTACTTCATTTTATCAAACGAGGACTCATTTTGGATATTTTTATCGAAGAAGTGTGATATTTAATGGTTTGTTTTGATTACTTTTCAGGGTTGTGGGTCTAAAAGGAGTGCAACCTCGAGCAGCAGATACTACTGCTACAGTAAGTAACTAATCATTTTGTTCTATGATTTAACTTCGAAGAATGAGTAAGATTGAGATGAATTAGGATTTTAAAATTTTAGCTGTCTGCTGTTGCAACTGGTTCACCTTATGATAACGCAATTATCATTTCTTGTATGGCCATTTGGTGTAGTTTCACATATACAATGTTTCAGAATTGCAGTGCATTTTCCAAAATACGAACTGCAAATGGAAGATACAATAATTAAAAACATAAACTGCTCGGTGCCTTCTTCATGTTCATTCCCGAGAGTTTTTTCCAGCCCCAACATTTTTCGGTTCTTCTTTTTCTGCCAATCATAAATCATTTTCTTCATACTAAGCCTTGGTTTCAGTCTGTTTATGTATTGCGCTGACTCTACCCCTTCTGCGATGAACTCTAGACACTGGCTAGAACATGCGTTATTCTCTTGTTCTTCAATTCAATGCTCATTGTGTTGGACATCAGTTCTTTATTTTTTTCTTATTTAATGGAAATACTTCCAATTGGATAATAAATGCTTCCCTTCGTCCATGGTGAATTGCAGGGTCCTCTCTTTCAACAGCGGCCATACCCATCACCTGGAGCTGTACTGAGGAAGAATGCTGAAATTGCTTCACAGACCAAGAAAGGAAGCTCTCACTACGCGCCTATTTCCAAGAGAGGAGATGGAAGTGATGGCCTTGGTGATGCTGACTGATCTTCTACTTTATTCTGCTTCGGCATTTACAGCAAGCACTATTTCTATAGCGCAGGAATGCACTTTCCACTTGTGGAAATGCGGCTAACCCTATATTCTTACTTGAAGTTATGGATCAGATGCATGTGATTGCTGCTGACTTTCTGGATAGGATGTGGCCGTATAATCAAGTGGGAGTTAGTTATTGAGCCATTTAAAGGTCTTCTTCTATTCATGAGTTTCTTGGTTTTCTTGGGGCTCACTTGTATGTAGTAGCTAATGATGCAATTACTGGAAAGTAGAACATTTTCTCCTCCTTTCGTGATCATTTATTTCAAACGTTATACTCATGTAACTTAGAGTTGCTTATCTTTATCATGTTGTTTTTCTTGTCTCAACTTGTGAGTTTGTTAATCCTACTATTATGTACACTCAAAAGAGTTGAACTGTTCTCAATATGAACACTGCTTTGCTGGGTTGCTTTTTGATGGTTTCCTTGTGACTTTATCCAAGTAAGATGTCATTATTTGTTGAATATTGATTGAGAATCAATATTTCTAAGTAGAATAAGAAACACAGTTCCCATACGTGTGTTATTCCCTACTAGTCTGATAGGAAGAGGTTTTTACATCCTTAAAGAGTTTCGTTCTCCTTTTCAACCAATATGGAATCTTACAAGAAATATTTGGCCTTTACAAGTACCCACCATTCATGTATTCCTATCTATTCCTGTACCCCAAGATTGTATTTTGGGCAGCCTCAAATGAATGCAGATCGGTGTTTTTTTATGGATTTTCGTTTCAAGTGTTGCTCCCATCGGCCTTCTTATGTCAGGTTTTGGATCCAATAATAAATATTCCTTTTTAGTTAGTCTACGAGCTGCTGCTCAAGCAATTAGTCATGAAATACCATTAACTCTATGTGTATTATCAATATCTCTACGTGTGATTTGCTGAGACAAACTTTCTTCTTTTTTTTTTTTCGAGAAAAGGGGTGATGAATAGGTATCTTCATAATATTCATCATCCGGATTAATGAACTAAATCAAATAGTTATACAAGTGAAAGAAAACCGGCTTCAAAATTTAGAAAAACTAGAAATAAAAAGAAATAAAAAGATAAAAGTCAGCTGAGGACATAACTCTGCCTCAAAAGATTATTATAATGGATAATAATGGACACTTGATGACATTTTTCAATGCCTTATGGATGCTGCTGGAGTTTGTATATGCTTCATAAATATGAGCATGGCGTTTCCTTCAAGTGAGCATCCTGCATCAGATTTTAGGGAGGGGGGGAAATCCATAAACAATCGCACAAACTGGCAATGCTGTCTTCTTTTTCATTTCACTTCGATAAAAATTGCAGTTTGGTGCCTTTTGAAAAAGAACGAACAAAGCTACACCTTCAAATCAAAACCAATACTGGAAAGCAAATTTTTGTGAAAAAAAAAAATGCTCAAAAGTGGAACTACAGCTACTAAAATATGTCGGGGACTCAGTTATTGGAGAACAAACAGGCATATATTTCTTTCTGGATATCTGGAAATAAGGGAAAGATAAAAGGTGCTTCAATCTTCATAAAACTCAGCCAATTCATTTGGTGCTGGCAAGCTGAGTACGGAGGAGCTTGGCGGCAGCTACCATGTTCTTAAGAGCAGGATTCACCTCGGCGTACTTGCGAGTTTTGAGACCGCAGTCGGGATTGACCCATAAGATGTTGGTCTCGAGCACTGCAAGCATCTTGTTGATCCGGTCTGCAATCTCTTCGGTTGATGGAATTCTGGGAGAGTGAATGTCGTACACACCGGGGCCAATTCCAGCACCGTACTTCACTCCCTCACGGAAAACTGACAAGAGCTTCTCGTCGGAGCGAGAGTTCTCAATTGTGATCACATCGGCATCCATATCGATGATGGATTGGATGATGTCGTTGAAGTTGGAGTAGCACATGTGAGTGTGAATCTGTCACATAATGGAATATTAGGCGAATTGAACAATACAATACGCTGTTATGGATAATGCAAATCTATATCAGTGGTTAGTGCAGTAACCTGAGTCGTGTCTTGGACACCACAGTTTGTGATACGGAAAGAGTGAACAGACCAATCCAAATAGAAAGCATGCTCAGACTTCCTAAGAGGCAATCCTTCTCTTAAAGCAGCTTCATCGATTTGGATGACATTAATGCCAGCCTTCTCGAGATCCTCGACCTCGTCCTTGATGGCCAAGGCAATCTGATAGCATGTTTCGAACCTAGAAGACAATAGCATACACAAGAAGCATAAGGCAACAGTAGCTTCTTTCAGCTTAAGGGTGTGGAAGCATTAACTTCTATTACCTTGGCTGGTCGACTCTAACGAAGGACCAGTTGAGAATGGTGACAGGGCCGGTGAGCATTCCCTTCATTGGGCGGGCTGTCATGCTCTGAGCTGCGGTAGACCAGAAGACAGTCATGGCCTTTGGGCGGCTCACATCACCGTAGATGATTGGAGGCTTCACGCAACGAGATCCATATGATTGCACCCAACCATTGACGGTGAATGCAAAACCTGACAGCTGCTCCCCAAAGTATTCAACCATATCGTTTCTCTGCGGTGAGGATGAAATTCTCGTTAGAAGGGGCACAATGAGAAAAGGGTACTACGAACTCTGGCTCCAAATAACTCACCTCGGGCTCTCCATGAACCAGGACGTCAATGTCGAGCTCTTCTTGGAGCTTGACAACCTTGCTGATTTCCTCCTTAATAGCCTTCACATATTCCTCCTCGGAGATCCTAAAGAATGGCGAAAAAGATGCAAACATTAGAAGTAGGGTTAAAATATTTGGAACTTCCAAGGAAAGCTGGTATTAACTCACTTGTTAGCTTTGTATTCACGACGAACCCTCCTGAGTTCAACAGTTTGAGGGAAGGAACCAATGGTGGTGGTTGGAAGGATTGGAAGATTAAGCTTCTTCTGTTGAGCATCAAGTCTTGCACTAACATTTGTAGCACGGCGGTGATCAGAGTCCTTCAAAGCAGCAGCCTGCACAATAAAAAAGAAACTTAATTCCTGCAAACAGACAGTTAAACACCTTATAGATAAGAAATGGTTGTTCATACCGCTTTCTGAACAGCCTCATTGGTCACCCTTGGGGACGATTTCCTTGAAGCATGAGCTCCGGCGTTAGCGGCAAAGAATGCCTGAAAAAGAAATCATAAGCTTGTAATTTTGCACACCAAACCAAGAAATACTGCTAATCGGCTAATTATAATTGACAGACCCCAACACCAAAGGGTTAGATATCAGGGCTTAAAAACATAGCTTGCACCTTCCATAGATGGATTTCATCGGAATCAAGAATATACCTCATCCTTTTCACCAGCCAAGGCCTTTGCCAATGCATTAACTTCAACAATCTTTTGAGCAGCAAAAGCTAGCCATGATTTGATTTCATTGTCCAACTTAGTTTCGTTGACGAGGTCAACAGCGGTGTGAAGTAGTGAGCAGGAGGTGGAGACAACAAGTTTATCTGCATAATTTTTTCAGAGGGAGAAGGAATCAGTAAAAAAGCCTCTCAAATAGTAATAATGAAATCAAGCACCAGGAACCAACATAGTAATACAAATGTAAGCAAAAGAATATTACCTTTACCCACAACGGCAGCCAGTTCCTCCAATGTGCTAACTGAAGCAGCAAGATCATTGGCCCAAATGTTCCTTCCATCAACGAGTCCAGCAAAAAGGTATTTTCCCTTGGGGAAATCACCCTTGATCAAATCAAGTGTCTTAGTTCCACGAACCAAATCAAATCCATAGGCAGTGACACCCTTCAAAGAAGAAAGGATCTTGTATGCCTCAGCAGGGACATCAGCAAAATATGTCTCCACAAGAACATTCAAGCCAGAGAGAGCTGACTCAAGTCCAGCATACGCATCAGAGAAGGCTTTCAATTTCTGAGAATCAAGATCCAACACCAGTGTAGGCTCATCAAACTGAATCCAAGAAGCGCCAGCCGCTTTAAGATCAGAAATAACCTCCCTGAAAAGTTATCCAACATTAGTATGTGACAAGAGAGTCATTGTGGGAACATTCTAGTATATCTTGATAGAGTGACGATTCTTTACTTGTAGATAGGGAGGATCTTGTCAAGAAGGGAGAGAAGGGAGAAGGTCTTGTCAACACCCTTTGCAGGCTTAGAGAGCAACAAGTATGACACGGGACCAACAAGAACTGGAACAGTGTCTACTCCAAGCTGCATAAGCAAAAAAAAAAAAAATTATCTCAATTATTAGGTATTTACATGCCTAAATCAGATACATTCACAATCCACTATTATCTTTTTCGGAAAAAGATATACGAAAAATCCACTCCACGTGAAAGGAATTCAATGCCTATTTCCAATTACTTTAATCATTTAAATTCTCTATTCTCAATCAAATCTTGAGCTTATTTTATGAACTTTTAGCACAATCAAAGCAAATATTTAGAACAGCAACTTACAGCCTTGGCTTCTTTGTACTCATCCACTGCCTTATGGGAAGCATAAGAGAATTTCACCTCTGGTCCTAGCTCAGGGACAATGAAGTGGCTGCATCATTGCATTGGCAGGATTAATTATACCATTATCATAACATTGTCATTGCATACTAATGATGGATCTTCCTTCCGAAAGTAAAAGGTCAGATGGGTTACTTACTAGTTTGTGTCAAACCATTTGGTCATTTCCATAGCTGGTACAGATGCATTTCCTCTGGCCATGGAGAAGTAGGTATCGAAACCAATCTCACCACCAGCCCAACCGTATCTAGGAGGAACGGCCCCAAGCAATGCAGTGGTATCCAACACCTGATCATAGTATGAAAAAGTGTTGCTGGGAATGTATTTGATCCCTGCACCAGACATCTTTTTCCAGATGGACGACCTCAGATCTGCAGCCACCTTCTTCAAATCCTCCGCGGAGCTCTTCCCATCCCAAAATGATTCAAGCGCAAACTTGAGCTCCCTCTTGGGGCCCATACGAGGATATCCAACGATGTGAGATGCCATTGTTCTGCTCAAGAGATCTCAACGTAAATCAACAACATTTCAATCTCAAAGGCCAAATCCAACAATCAATAAGCAACAGAAACAGATACAGCATGTTAAGTACAAAATCGGAATTAACCAATCGCTAAATTTACAGAACAAGGAAGCAACAAATATACGATAGTGTTCGAAGTATAGATCTGGTGAAATTTTTGTTTTCTTGAAGGCGTACGATTGTAGATCTGACATAATTTAACGGATATTCGCTATTTCAAGCATTAGATCTATGTGTGTCTGAATTGTTAGTTGTGTGAACTATACTCATTGGATTGGATTGGATCTTTAATAGACAGAAAGTAAACTCCTAACGCATTGGAACACCAAATCATAATTCGTTCAGGCCTAACTAGCAACACAAGTTCTTTAAACACTGGATCTGAATCCAAATTGCAGCAATGCCGCCATACATTGACAAGTAGTGAAAATTCACAGAAAAGCAGAAATTAGGGGAAAATGGAGCGAACCTTGAGGATGTGGAACACCGACAGAGGCTCCCCTCGGAGAAAGAAACAGAAAGGAATGCGAGAGGTAAAGAGATAAAGAGACGATAATGGAGGAGCCACAAAGAGAGAAGGCGCGAGTTGGAAGCAACGGGAATCAAGCTTATTTATAGAGACGGACGGTAGCCGGTGACTGACAGACAGACAGCCAACGTGTATTTCATTTATTTATTTATTTATTTATTTACTTACTTTTTTTACAATATTATTTTTATTTCTTTTAGTGGTTGAGCGATAAAATCTCATAGCCTAAGCTATACTATTAATTTACACTTATTCATAAATTTTCATTATTAAATCTTTAAAATTAAAATATATATATATTTTTTCTGTAAGAATTTTTTTTTATATATATTTAAAAAAACATAAAATTATATATTTTATTAATAAAAAATTTTAAATTTAAAGATTTAATAGATATTTTGTAAATTAAATAAACAAAAATGTGGAAGATTGGAAAGGCGAGAGGCTCGCACGCGCGCGCGTGGGATTGGGGGTTGGTGATGTGAAAGAATTTAAGGGGAAAGGCGTAACGTGGAAGTGAGGAGTACGTGGCCACGACGATTTGGCTTTTGTTTGTGTGTCGGAGCGAATTGCGGTGATTGGTCTGGACACTTTGACCTGACGTGGCATTTCACGGTAATTTTAGTTATTATTAACCCCCATTTTTTCAATTATACATCAATTTTAAATCAATTATTATTATTTATTTAAACTTTTAATTAATCTTTTGTAAACAAAAAAAAATTATTAATTAAATGATGATTGGTTGTAAAAGCTTTTTTTCTGTATTATTAAACTATGGCTTTTTTTTAATTAAATTTATTTTAATAAACTAACTAATTATTTAAAATAATTGTAGAAACTAAAAATAAATAGTATTAATTTATATGAAATTTACCATAAAATAATTTATGGATCATTTTTAACAATATACTAAATTGGTAAATTTTTCTTTTTTTTTATAAAAATAAATATATAGGAAAATGACAGTGCTGACGGTGGAGATGCGAATGAAATGCACGCGCTCGTAAAACGCGTGGAAAAGATTAGAAAATTGCCACCGCATGTGCCATGTATAATCATAATTTTTGGAAGACTTTTTTTTGCAAAAATTAATAGAAAAATAAACAGAAAAAAAAATGAGCGAAGGAGTTTGGTGGTTGAAATTGACTGAGGGATTGGTGGTAGATGTGACCCAAACCAACCTATTTTTCCCCATTTAGTTGGAGATTTATTTCTTTTTTTTTTTTTTTAATTCCCTTACAAATTTAGTTCTAACAATATTAAATAATTTTTAAATTTTTAATCTACATAAATATAATTTTTATGTAATTTTTTATTTATTAAATTAATTTTATGTACGTGAATAACCAAATATCTAGGGATTACAATATATTTTAAATAATATAAATTAATTACTTAAAAGAATAGACAAAAAAAACAAAAAAATCTTCCTAGGATGGTTTGTTATTCCAACCAAAGTATACCAAACCTTACCAACAAAAATCATAATGAAATAAAATATTAATAGTTAATATTTTATTTTTAGTTAAATTAATATTATTTATTCTATGCTTTTATTTAGGTTAATCATTTCAAAATACATTCCTTCCATTGTTAATAAATTAATATAATAAAAATAAATAATTTAAATACTTTACCAAAATTTTATAATTTTTTTAGCTTTTCGTCTTAAATTAAATAAATAAATAAAGTTGTTTACGAGTGTCTCGTTTCTTTTTCTTTTTAAATTTTTGTATTATCATTTATATTTTTAAATCCATAAATTTACGAAGGTCAAATATATTATTTATTTGAATTATTCTATTAATAATTTCATTTTCGGGCTCCCACCTACTCTTTTTTAAATTATAGAAAAAATTTAATTAAACGATTATATTATAAAAATATCAAATTTATATTTCCAAAAACACACAAAAACCAAACTTTGACTTTTTAATCTAAAAATTAAATTCTCTTTTTTCAATATATATATATATATATTTATTTATTTATTTATTAAAAAAAATTTGTAGCACGGATAAACAATATTCAGGTGCAAGTCAAATAAATTGTAAATTAGAACGGTCTATTTTATTCGAGGGCTCGAGGTTGTGGAGGAACCCATCTCGAACAAATAGAGAATTCTCGATTAAATCAGAAATGTAATGAACGAGGATTATTATGACTGGCTCCAATTATTAAAAATTTAAAAAGTATATAATATTTTTAAATTTGTTATTTTAAATAGAAAACATTAAATTAAAAAAGAAAATCCCACAAGAGCCTTGCCTTGTATGTAATCCGTATCTTATTAAAATAAATAAATAATTGATGCCTAATAGAACAAGTCTCCCATTGTTTTTCACATCCACATTTGGCGATCCCTTGTCATCCACCGCCGGCCTTCCTCTGTTTTTAAAACCTCCCCTGTCTTCTTCCTTTCACGCCCCAAAAATGGACCGCCTCATCGCCGTCGAGCCCTCCACCTTGATCCCAATTCCGATCGAACCCTCTCGGAAATGCTCCGCCGAGCTCACCCTCCGCAACGTCATGTACACCATGCCCGTCGCCTTCCGGCTGCAGCCTCTGATCAAATCCCGCTACACTTTCAAGCCTCAATCTGGAATCATCCCACCACTCGCTACATTAACGGTTGAGATTCTTTACCATCTCCCCCCAGGCTCTGATCTCCCCGATTCCTTTCCTTACTCCGACGACTCTTTCCTCCTCCACAGCGTCGTCGTCCCCGGTGCTGTTATCAGCTTTGACTCTGTTCCGTCCGACTGGTTCACTACCAGAAAGAAGCAGGTTTTTATTGACAGTGGGATTAAAGTCATGTTTGTGGGGTCGGCTGTGGTGACGAGGCTGGTGGCGGAGGGGGTTATGGATCAGATTAGAGATGTGTTGGAGCGGAGTGATCCTAGCTGGAGGGCGGTGGACGCGGTGGATGAACAGGGGAGGACTCTGCTTCACTTGGCGGTGGAGCAGGGGAGGGCGGATTTGGTGCAATTGTTGTTGGAGTTTAATCCGGATATGGGGGCAGTAGGGCGGTGTGGGATGACGGCGTTGGAGGCGGCGGCGGCGGCAGGGCAGGCGCTGATTGTGGAATTGTTGTTGGCGAGAAGGGCGAGTACAGAGCGGGGGGACGGGTCTGTGTTTGGGGCGGTGCATTTGGCGGCGGCGGGAGGGCATGTGGAAGTGTTGAGGCTGCTTTTGGTGAAAGGGGCTTTTGTCGATGCTTTGTCTAAGGACGGCGATACGGCGCTGCATCTCGCTGTTCAGGAGCGCCGCCGTGACTGTGCTCGACTGCTTCTCGCTAATGGAGCCAAGCCTGATGTTCGTAGTGCTGAACAAGGTGGACTTTCTCACAAAAAATAAATTAAAAACGAAGGGTAAAATTGTAATTTGAAAACGGAATGTTCGTTGTTTTGTTTACAACAGGAGATACGGCGCTGCACATGGCGGCGAGAATCGGCGACGAGCAAATCGTGAAGCTTTTAATTCAGAAGGGAGCCAACAAAGACATCCGAAATTGGGCCGGGAAGAGGCCATACGACGTCGCATTCGACCACTCCCACACTCGCCTCTTCGACGTCCTCCGCCTCGCCGACAAACTCGCCACCGCCGCACGCAAGGGCGACGTCCGGTCAATCCAGCTCCTCCTCGACAGCGGTGCCGCTCTCAACGGCCGCGACCAAAACGGTTGGACAGCGCTCCACAGGGCGGCCTTCAAGGGTCACACCGACGCCGCCAGAGCCCTAATCGACATCGGCATTGATATCCACGCCAAGGACGACGACGGCTACACCGCCCTCCACTGCGCCGTGGAGGCTGCCCAAGCCGACGCCGTTCAGCTCCTCGTCGAGAGAGGCGCTGACGTGGAGGCGCAGACTAATAAAGGGATGAGTTCAATGCAGATTGCTGAGTCACTGCAGTACCCAAGGATTATGAGGATTTTGATGAAGGGCGGCGCCGGCAGAGACAAGGAGGCGTCGCCGTCGCAAACGCCGTCGTGGGGGCTGACAAAGAAAAAGCAGCAGAGTAAGAGCAGAGGGAGAATAAGGAGTGTGCGGAGTACGGAGTTCGATAAGTCGGTGGCGTTGTCGGTAGTGTGAGAACATATATAGAGTGTTGTATGTGTATGTATGTATGTACGTATGGATGGATGTATGTATGTATGGATGGATGCATGCATGTACGGATGCATGTATAGTTTCCATCGCTTGTTGTTTGTTTTCAAATATCTATCATAATTCGAAATTTGTAATTAATTCAAGGATTATGTTCTTAATTTAAATTTTTAAATAGGTTATGTACCACCTATTAAACATTTTCATTTTTCAAATTTTTAGAATTTTTGGACACAATAAATAATATTTCATATATATATATATAGATATATTATATCAGAACACCGGTTGAAAGCCCTCAAAAGAGTCGTTCTAAATCCATCTCCCGACAGACACGCAACGACCCATTCTCACCGTGAGAGCAACAGTCTTACCTACAGCAAACAGGTTCAGGACTGAGACCCTCTGTCCAACCCTAATAGAACAATCTTTTCTTGAAGTTACAAATATATTTGATCGACTTCCTTTATCTACATTGTTCCGCACTTGGATATATATATATATTAAGGGTTTTAAAAAACAATTTCTTAAAATTTTTATTTTAAGTTAGAATAAAATAAATGAAAAAATATATAATTATATGGGAGGAAGGAATGATCCTAAAGAATAATCCTGAGTTTATAATAGAGAAATACTACAGACCATTAAAACTTATGCTCAAAGTGACAATATCATACATTATGGAAAGTTAGTTCATCGATAGGTTTTGGATCGCTATGAAATACTGATAATAAAGAATTGTAGACATCAATGTAACAATTAAATAAATTTTGTTTAGCTGATTTAATACTTTAGTTAGAGATTAAGAAGAAAAATTATAATTAACAATTAGTACACTTTTGGATCGAGATAATCGCACTCTGTTTTTCAGCAAATAGAACTCACTTTCCCCATTGTCAGAACAGAGACGGAATGATCGAGGAATTCGGAAATCAAGAAGAAGAAAGGAATCAACGAATATTAACTTCATTACAGTTTAATTATAGAGCATCGACATAAGGAAGCAAAATCGAGCAGTAGAGGTGAAATTAGGGCCAAACTAAATCAACACAAACCCTAGATTCCTTGAGAAACTCGTCCATTACCGTTTCATCGACGCAGATCCGACTCATATTGTTCTGGCACTTACTGGACAGCGACTTCGCGACTGCAGAAGCAGACGACGGCGGCGGCGGCGGAGGTGGAAGAGGAAGAGTAAGCCAGTAATCGGGATTGATGTTGTGGTGACGGACGAGTTCGGAGAGGAGAAGAACGAGAGACGCCATTGGAAGGGAGATTTGGAGATCTGAAGGAGGGAGGAAACTGGTTGGGATTAAATGAAGGTGAGGAAACGGGTGGGAGATTTATAAAGGAAATGGAACGGGTGGATGCCATTTTGGCGCCCACCGAATTTCATCCTTTGTTTTTTGTTTTTATTTCAATGGATTTAATATTATAATTAATGGCCGCCTCCCGGCTACCGCTGTTTAGTTTTCTCCGCCGGTATTTTTTTTTTCTTTAAAAGAAATAATAAAAACAATTGAATTCAGTATCGTCGGTTTCTCTCCTTTGCCCGCTTTACTTACGACGTCGTTTTACCTACTCTTCAACAAGAAATTTAATTATTTATTTAGGAGTATATATTATTTATGAAATATATATTAAATATTATATTTTAATATTCTTTTTTATTATTTATAATTTATAATATATTTTATTTTATTTTCAATATTTAATTAATTTATATTTTCTTTATAGACTGGTATTAATTACTTGCTTGTATCTTTATGAATATGAATGGAATGCATATCTTCGATTCCAATTCTATTTTTATTTCTCTTTTTTAACTCAATATAATTTATAAATTTATTTATAATTGTAGTAGTATAAATAATTCAATTAGTTTTAAAAAATTTAAATTTTTTAATAATTTATTAAATACAAAATTCAACATTAACAATTTAACAATATTGCCCAAGATCGTCCATCGAAAAAACAACATTTTTAACACGACAGCTTGAACTCCATATGGTAACATATTGACCAATGCATGTCATGAAGACAACATGTTGCATCGTATTAAAATAGTTATTTTTTACATTTTTTTTTTAATTTGACGACATAATAGATAAAATTAAAAAATTAAAGATTAATTATATATTTTTAAATGTTATAATTCAACGCAAATAAATTTAAAAAAAAAAAAAAAAAAAAAAAGGGGATAACACTTATATAATTGACGTTTGGAATTATTATTAGGAAACACTAATATTTTTTTTTCTTATTTAATTGAAACAAATCTATTGATTTTATTAGGCTTATAATAAAAGAGAAATGTCAAATTTGACCTCGTCGTATAGCTGGATAAATATATAATATAAAATATAAAAAATGGGGATAAAATGGGAAACTAGGGGCTGCCTTCAATTTATATTTATATTTCTGTTGTCTGTATTATTATCTCTTCACCTTTTTTTTAAAATTCAACATATACTCTCTTTTTTTTTTTAATTTATATATATTTTTTTCTAAAATTACAATAAATAGTACTGATTAATTTGTAAAGAAGTATTAATAATTATCCATATATATACACGTATTAGATTAAAAACACGTATCTCCAACGTGTTTATATCCTATTTCTTTAGAATTTGACGTGTTGATGTATCTGTATCGTGTCGTGTATGTGTCACGTGCTTGTGTTCATATTTCTTAGCTCACCAATTTTTATTACTTTTTCATTTTTCTTCGACCGTTCTCAATATCATATAAATATAAATATAAGGCTAAATTAACCCATAACAATACTTTTTCAAAAAATTTAATAATTCCTTTCAACTTAAAAAAAATCCTTTTAAATTAAAAAAAAAATTAAAAATTACCCTTTTAAATTTAAAAAAAAATGAAAGAGATTTTTTAAAGTCTAAGAGATTATATATTAATATTTTATTGAATATTTGATAAATTAGATGTCTATTAAATAAAATAAAAAATTCAGAAATTTATTTTAATTTAAAGATTTTACAAGTATCTATTATATTCAATTTGTTATTATACTTGTAAAATATTAAATTTGATTATTACATTTTAAGAAATTTAGAATTCTAAAATTTTGATGGAAAAAAATGATTTTAAATTACCACAAAAATTAGAGAAATAAAAGGAGTATTTTAAAATCATAGTAACCTTAAAAACAAAGAAACGGGGGTAGAAAAGTCAACGGGAACCATGTGATAGGTTTGTTTTCCAAAGTCAACTTGAATTTAATTTAATTTTAAAATTACATTGCAAATTGTAACATTAAAGAAATAGGTTGATAAATAATAATAAAAAAAGAACAATAATTGGTGGGTGTGGTTGACTTAGAAAATGATTAGTCAAACAAGATAAATGTGTCGTCCATAAATATGATACCCTTCATAGGCTAAAAGCTTGCAGCTTGAATCAACAACAATGTCAGGGATAATGACCAAGATCCAGGAAACGCTGCACCGCCGTCAGAAGCAGCCGCACGACGGAGAGGAGAAAGACGGCGGCGGGATTGTGGAGAGGATGAAGGAGAAGATCCATGGCTACAAGGAGAAGAAGCAAGAGAAGAGGAAGCAGAGGAAGGAGAAGAAGAAAAAGGAGGAAAAATATAAAGAAGAAGAAGAAGAAGGCAGCGGCCACAGCAGCGACAGCGACTCCGACTAGATGCTGTGGCGGCGGCGGCAATCCTCTATTGTTGGAAGTAGTGTTCATTTTATTTTATTTCAAAAATTAATGGACTAGTTCAATTTATCTATATAATTTAGTACTAAATATCATTAACATCACTTGTGTGTTTTTTTTCTCGTAATTTTGTAAAATAAAAGAATGAGAAGAGATGTTGCACAAACAGAATTGTACATTAAAAAAATGGATGGTGGTGGCAGTGGCGTCGGTGGCGATGGTGGATCAGTCGCTGTCGCTACCGCTGCCGCTGCTGCTGTGGCCACCGTGGTGGTGGTGGTCGTCGCCATCCTTTTTCTTGTCTTTCTTCTTCTTCTTCTTCTTGTCGGCTTTGTCGTGGTGATGATGATCTCCATGGATCTTGTCCTTGATCTTGTGGACCAGGCCTACCTTGTGCTCGCCTTTGTGCGCGTGTTGGTGATGCTCGCCTTTGTGCACGTCTTTATGATGCTCGCCTTTGTGCGCGTGTTGGTGATGCTCGCCCTTGTACGCGTCTTTATGATGATGCTCGCCTTTGTGCGCCTCATGATGATGCTCGCCGATGTGGAGCTTCTCTCCGATTTTCTCGATGAATCCCGACATCTTGGATCCGAGTTGTAGCTGTTTGAGAATTAGGCAAGGAAGGAACCCAATTTATAAATACTCAAACCCTATTTCTAACCATAATAGTTTTGTGTGGAAACCCAAACCATTGATAAATTTAGGATAGTTTGTTTAAAACGGATAATCGTGCACGTAATAGGTGACCGAGTTCGGTCATGTCCACGTAATCATGTCTATGTACGTGGGTCAACCCCACATCACGTGCTACGTGTCATAATCGTATTTTTATGATAGTGGGATAGTAATCGTGCGGTAATTATTCTGATTAGTAAATGAATCAGGCATGTGAAGGTTATAATTCGTGAACCATTTGGACTGAGTTGAATCCTACCCTCGGTATTGATTTCACGTCCACCGGATTTTTTAAATAAATAATTACATAACAACAAAAAAAATAAAAATAAAAATAAAAATAAACAGAAAAAAAGTTGTTTCCACGTATTTATATTTCATCCACTCATATCTTGCCACGTCGGATAAGATCCGTTGCCGACATTACTTGATTGTTTTTTAGTACAGATCTCCGCTATTGCCGACATTTAAGGATGGTCGGCAAAGAAATGCCACGTGTCAATATTTTTGTCGTGTAGCTGAAATCTGCCACTTGGGTTTCTCACACTTCAACTAGCTTTAGTTTATGAGAAAATTAACTTATAATATTCATTATTTTAAAGTATTATATTATTTTTTATAATCTTATAACAACATCGAGCAATAAGGATGGGTGTCTTATCTTGATAAGATATTTGATACGACCAGCAATGTAATAAAAATAAACTCTAAACCGTTTACAAATGAGCCAATTGAAAAGATAAATGTTTCAATAATAAATATGGGACACCATCGTAATCGTGAATGAGCTAAAAATTTATGTGACGGTTAAATTTTATCGTCAATCCAATAAATTTAATATTTTGAAAACATTGACCAAATAGAGAGTCAATAATATATTATCACAAGAGTTAGGACGATCATAGCTCCTTTAAAGTGCTGATTTTGAAATTTGAATGATGAGACACTTCTATTTTATTGACTCGAGAGGGACTCGGTTTATAATCGAACTAGAAGTGTGTCGGTGACAATGGGCTTTTGAATTTCCGACATCGGCCCATTTGAACTTTGCTTGCTTTTAAATCCTTTCAAAGGGGAAAAAAGGCAAAACTTTTGACCTCCTTTTTTGGTTAACTTTTTCTAAATTACTTTTATGCCCACTCATTTAGAGGAGATTTGAGTCACTTCTCATCAAAAGCTAGTATTCCCATCAGGGCTATTTTGGGAAAAGAACCAAGTTTTCATTAAGGTACTATTGCTCGAAATGAGAATCATTGCCGTCGAGTTTATATCGAAAATCATAGAATTTGGTTGTCTAGACATCATTCATCTTCTAAACTCGAGTATATCATAAATGAGATCTTTAGGTTAGCTTCATCACTTAATAGACGATGGACCGAGGACTAGTTTAGGTCAACTACGTCGGAATTCATCGAATCTATTTGTCTAGATATCATTCGCCATCTAACCCGAAAAAATGAAAAATCTCACTGACGTTCTATTACGAAGTAGGTCTGTAGGTCAGCATCATTGCTATCGTTACAGACAACGACCAAGACTTGTTCTGAAGTTTCGTAAACGGGAATGCCTCGATTCTCGTGCAACCTTCCCAACACCCTTTTGTTAAAATTAAATGAGTGATGAGATCTTCCAATCTGTTGCTTGGTTGGCAAGTCTTATAAAAATTAGCTGTGTTCTTCAAGAATATTTAATGTAATGTCATAGGGGCTAAACAACAAATTCATGAAAGTTGAGGGACCAAATATAAATATTTTACAAAATTTCATAAACAAATAGATACTAAACTATGTACCAAATTTCTGCAAAGCTTTCAGACATTTATGAACAGCTTTTAACACAGTCAGTCAAAGAAACAACAACAACGACAAAAATAAACTCTATAAAAGCGAGTAAAAGCTTCCATTTTTTGCTTCCAAGATGTTTGGAGCTTCCAATGTCGTCCACATGGGACTCCTAGAAGCCTCGCTCGGATTATCGACTCGTAATGTCTTAGGAATCACGATGCATTTCTCTGGCTTCTCTTCCTCGGTTAAGCTATCTGCATCTCTCGAATGCTTTCCGAGAGTAGGCGACGAGGATGTTTGGCACCTGCTGATGGTGGCTGGAGATGTTTGAGATGCACAGACATCGGATGAACCGGTGGTCCATACGGGCGTACAACCCCAATATGAAGCTGGTACGAATTGTAACGGGAGGCTCGGACCGCAAAAGCCTGGAACTGCTAGCATTGTTGCAGGGAGCCATTGAACTGGATTGGGGTGACTGCTGGTAGTATCTGAACTCTGTGCCATTGCTGATGGGATTACGCCATTCCCGCCCTGATTCAATGGAAAAACCAATTGTGGTACGGGGTAACAATGAACCGTATTCGATCCAGCGATCTCGGTACTAGAATTAGGCAATTCGTTTCGACGAATACTAGTCGTTGTCATGGAAGAACCGCACGAGGACGGTTCTTCAGGACTGTCTCCACAGCCAATCTCAATGGATCTCTTTTGATCTCCAAGACTAAGCACTGTCTCCATTGATTCACAAAGTGGTGCTGCTTCAGATCCAAATTTCAGGACAGTACCATTACCAGTAGACTCAACACCCGACGTTTCCAACCGGGTTGTCGCCGCAACTCCCTCAGACGACACTATGATCTGTCGGTATTGAGACGCCAACTGCTTGTTTCTTCGTCGTCCTGCACCGATAGGAACGTTTCTCATCGTCCCACCAGCAGTCCAATATCTTTGACAGTTCTTACAGAAATGCCTAGGTTGATTGACATTGTAATTGTTGAAGTAACAAAACTTAGTTTCCAAACTATTACATCTAGGACAAGGAATGATCTTGTCTGGTTTCTTAAAAGCTCGTTCTTGATCTGTGCCATTACCATCCATCTGTTCCTCTTTCGAAGCTCGGTGTTCTTCGTTATCCCCTACCAAAACCGACGACCTCTCGGACCGACATGAGTCCTCTGCACCCAGGACAGACTGCTCAGCTTGTTTCCAATTATTGCAAGCATCCTGCAAAAGATATAGAACAAAATTGACACTCGAAACAGTCGAAAACACATAGGGAAGAACACGATCGACAAGAAATGCATCAGATTCCTAGTTGATAACCCTTTCCAAATAAGGAAATACTATATCCATTCAAGTAATCAATCATTATTGAACTTTTTCAGCAGCTCCAAACGTTCAAGAAAGAACTTCAGTTAACCCTCAATGAATTCCACATTCTAATATGGCTGAAACAGAACGAACCCAAATGGGAAAAAGTCAACCAAGTTCGCTAGAACATTACATGAATAAACCTAAACAAGAAAACATGTTATTCATCTCCATCACAATGAAAAGAACAGCTGAAACGAGACAACAACAAAAGGGACAGGGACAGGGACAAGGACAGGGGCAGGGGCAGGGGCAGGGACAGCTCGGTCGGGCTAACAATGGAAGAAGAACAATATGAATAAGACAGTGCAATCAATCGTCCATTTCAACAATCTCGCATGACCCACAAGAACACAACACGAGATAATCAGATTAAACCCAGAAATCAAAAAACCCATCAAAACTGAAGGGGAACCCAAGAAGGGGAAACAAAAATAGGTACCCGATTGACGCGAGGGGCGGCGGAAATCTGGGATTCCTTCAAAGGGATGGTCCGACCGAAGAGTTTAATGGCGAGATCCTTGAAATGTGGGGCGGCGGCGACATCATCAGTGGTAGAACTCGTCATTTTGGTGTCGTTTTTAAGGAAAATTTGGTGGGTTTTGAGAATGGGAAGGTTTGGAGGTGAAATCCATTCAAATATAGAAGAAGAAGAAGAACCAGAAGCTTTTCCTCTCTCTCTCTCCTTCTCTCTCTCTGAAATCAAAGAGGAGAGAGAGGAGAGGAGAGGGAGGGAATTGGAAAGGGAAAAAAGGGAACAAAAAAAGAAAGCCCTTCAAAAGTTTGAGCTAAAAGCTTCAAAGCACAAAGAACGTGAGGCATCAAAGTACCCATTTTTTCCTAAATTTCTCCCCTTTTTTCACTTTTCAAAATGTCTCTCTTTTCCTTTTTCCTTTTTCCTTTTTCTTTTTCTTTTTTCCTTTTTCCTTTTTAAATCTTTATTTTTTTTTTTAAAAAAAATGCAAATTTTATTAATGGGACAATTTTTCTTTTTCTTTTTTCTCTATTAATTTAATAACCCAATAATAATTCCTCCAACATCAATTATTTTAAATTCATAAATCATTTTTTTTTATTAATTTTTGTTATTTAATATAATAATTTACACCCAAAAAAAAAAAAACATTTAGTGTAATTTTGATGAAATAATAAATTAAATGAATATATTCGATTTCCCGAGTTGCTTATTTGTTACGAATTACTTTTTAAATAAAGGGTTTCTTTTGACTAAATAAAGCGTTATTTACACTTTTTTATTATTGTTTACATTTTTCATCCTTTAAACATGTATTTTGAGATTAATTAATTTTTATTTTTAAGTTATAATCTTAATCAAATTTTAATATTTTCAGAAAATTAATATTTTTTTAAAAAGAGGGTTGCAATAAGGAAATTGATAGTAAATATATTTTTTAAAAAATAAAGAATATAAAGTATAAATTAAATATTATAAAATGGAAATGAATAATGAGAATAAGATGCTTGATCTATTATTATGGAGGAATCAACGTTGAAATTGCTAATTACACTTGCTTTTTTAATTTTTTTTTCTACCATTTATTATATTATTATTTTACGAACATAATTTATAATTTATTAAGTTACTTATAATAATACGAACCGACGTGAGAGGAATGAAATGCAATGTCTAATAATTCGATGAGCTAATCCAACTCGACTCGAAAGTAACGAGTTGGGTTGAGTCGTGAACATTATTCGAGTAATTCGGGTGATTACTTTAACATAATTCAACTTAACTTGTATACGCTTTTACCAATTTGACTCAGATGCTCGAGTCCAATCGTAAATTGTGGGATAATAGAGTTTTATTTTATTATTTTTAAATAAAACATTAAAAAAAATTATAATAAATACATAAAGTTTTAATAATTGAATTGTATTTGGATTCAATATAATTTAAATACGAAATTTTTTATATGAAAAATGAAAAAGAATAATAATAATAATAATAATAAAAGATGGTAAGCGTGTGGGTCCACACGTGTAAAAAGTGAAAAGTGATGCCTATTTCTGCGTGGATCGCTTTCTACGCCGCCTTTAATGCCTTTTCTGTTGTTTTTTTTTTCTCTTTATATTATTATTTATTTATATATAACTTTATTAAATCCTTTACTTGTCACATGATTAATCCAAATTTATTTCTCACTAATCATATTATTAATGAGATATTTATTTTATTAATAATTTTTAAAATTTTTATTAAAATAATTTTTTTCGACCAATGTTATTTTCTTATGCATGTATTTATGTTTTCGTGTTTGTGAGCATAGAATGATATGAGACTAGCTATCATTATCAGTGGGGTGGAAAGACCAACCCCATCAAGTTCGAGCGATTAAAGGTATGTCATTGACGTTGTGGTGAATATCATCTCGACAAATGTCAATCTAATATAATTTCGTGTCAGGATCCCACATTAGTTGAGATGGGAACGAAACATTTTTTACGAGGGTATGGAAAACTCTCTTTAATTGACGCCTTTAAAAAAAATTAAAGGGAAAGGTCAAAGAGGACAATATTTGCTAGGAGTGGCTTGGGCTGTTACAAATGATATAAGAGCCAGACATCAGGCGGTGTGCTAACAAAAATGTTGAGGAAGTTGGAGAGGGGAACGAAGCATGTTTTATAAGGGTGTGGAAACTTTTCAGTAACATACATGTTTTAAAAAACATTAAGATGAGGTTTGAAAGAGAAAATCGAAAGAGAACAATATTTACTAGCAGTGGACTTGGGCTGTTACATTTCGTTTCTCCGAACATATTCTTTGGACGAGATGGAAGTGCAACGTATGGCATACCTGCGATGAACGATGAATGTTACTCGTCCCACGACCCAGATTTAAAATACCCAAAAGTGGGTGAGTGGTTAGATGTCTACTTTTGTGAGATGGATCCCACCCTCAACTCCAAAATTCATTCCTTTTATAACCCAAAAACAAGAAACAAAAAAGAAAAAAGAGAGGAGAAATAAAGTTTTTTTTTAACATGAAACTTGACCATTTTGGTCGTAGATTTAATAATATTTAGTCAATTTGAATATAGCTCAATTCATCTAAATATTATAATTTAAATTAAAAAGCTTTAATCATCCCTTAAGTTTTTTTTTTTAATATATATATTTATAAATTACATATTTTGGTATTAATCTAAAGTTAAAAGAAAAAGAGAGGAAAAAAAGGTGAAATAAAGTTGTTTTTGCTTCTAAAAAAAGCCATTTTTCCGACTTAACTTTTCAACTTTTATCCTTTGCCTGAGTTTCAAAGCTACTTTTTTTTTCTTTTTTCTTTTGCTTAAAAAATACTTTTTATTATTTTTTGAATTTATCAAACCAATTAAATTCTTTAAAATTTAGGACAAAAAAACAAGACAGTGACTAGAATACTTACTTAGATTAAGAGTGATACAATGATATTTAGACATGTCTACTTTTCTTCCAAATATTTTATGTAATTGGCCTACTCAACTGTGTATCGACTGTAAAGGTAGGCAGGACATCACATCCTTCTACCAAGGGAGACTGCAAGCCCTCCCCTTTCTGACTGAACTGACTCTCCGAGTCAATCTCCTCTAAAACATGCTACATAGCCACTCATTAGTCTTGACCAAATAGTCGAATCTATCTCTTAGCAATTATTATAACTACTAAGAACTCATTTTCAACTAGTTCACCCGATCATATGTAAGATCAACTTATTAAAAAAAGGTGAATCTGGTATGAAATTGTCCGAACGAATTATTTTATCAAAGGTTTGCGCCGTTAAATAATAAAAATATTTTTTTAAACAAATATGTAATTTCATAAAGCTGTATTTTATTATTATTATTATTTTCTTTTTTAATAGGGGCATTTGTGTAAATTGAATGCCCCATTCTTGTAATTTGGATTTGGACTTTTGGGCTTTTTGTCTAAAGGGCCGAAGCCCACCATTCTTGGGCTCAGTGTTATTTTAAAGAAAAATTAGGGTATGAATTCTCATAATTACTCCTTTATTAAGATAAATAACCCAAGTATTTTTATTAATGATAAATGACCCATTATATTTTTCTAACAAATTATAATTTTAACCTTCGGACCCTTTTACCCTTCTTAATTCGGTCATCTATGTGTTTTAATGTTTTTTCGTATTTCAATATATTAATTTTGTTATATTTGTCTTTTCCCAATTTTTATTTCTTTTTCGCTATAAAAAATGATAATAATAATAAAAAAAAAACATTAGTAAATAATTGAACCAATAAACTTATAATATATTACAAAAGGAAAAAAGTCCAAACAAATACTAAATTATTAGGAGACTAAAAGCAACGGAGTGAAAAGACAGAATTGCCCTTTCCTTTTTTTTTTTTTTTTTTTTTTTTTTTTTTTTTTTTTTTTTTTTTTTTTTTTTTTAAATTTAACCAAGTTTATATCTATTAAAAAAAAGTGAGCATTTCTTCAAATACTAACCCTTTTACTTCTAAATTTTGGTTAAGAAAAAAAAAATAATAAAAAAACTAAAATAAAAAAAGTTATGGCTTCGCCGGAGTGTTTGGATCGTGGTGGTTGTTTGCTCCGGTGCCGGGATAATCATTGTTCTCCAAAACGAATCTTCCAAATAAATCTCCACCGTTGAACTCCAAATCTCTCACATCCTACAAAAATTATAGATCAAAACACAATTCAATTTCTCAATCATGCCTGTTTGGTTGCCGAGAAAATTTCCCGGAAAATGAAACAACTTTCTCGAGAAAAAAAAAAAAAAAAAAACCTGAAAAACGAAATCTTGAGCAGATGGCTGATCGAAAGTCGATTTGAAAATCCCTAAAAAATCACAAATTCATTAGAAAAAAATAGAAAAAGGAGAGAGAAAGATGAAAATTGAAGTGAATTATGAGAGAGAAAAGGGTTTGTTTACTTGTGGTGGGAACAGCAACAGAGGAAAGGAGAAGGGAGAAGCCGAGAAAGAGAAGCAGCAGCCGCTGGAGAGAGAGGGAAATTTTCTGACCCATGTTTTCTCGGGAAACAAACAGAAAAGATCTCTGTATAAAAAGGGATGGATAGGTAGCAGTTTGGCAAGAAAACCGATGTGGGAGAACATTTATATAAAACAAAACAAACAAAAAGGTCAGAAAAAACCACTCTGGTTTATTGCCTTTTACTAAAGTCAACGTGTCTATTGCTCGTGGAGGTGTAACGACCCGACTTTTTAAATTAAGATCAATTAAAATAAATATTATAATGTTTGCGAATTCTCGAGAAAATGCTTGAAATTTTAATGAAGATATTAAAAGGAAAAAGGTAAATACGTTGGAGATCGATCAATCAGTTACTTACGTGGGGACGATACTCGATGATAAAGGGTCGAGTAAGGGAGATGAATATGAGGAGGATGACTATACAATTGGTTGGACGGCCTCGACTCCTGAGAGGAACTAAGAGTGAGAGAGGTTGAATATGATGAACCGAGAGTGACACGAGGAGACACACGAGAGAAAAGAGAAAAAAAAAAAAAAAGATTAGGGTTTATTGCCTTTTACCAAAGTCAACATCTTGTGTCCCTTGCTCGTGATGATGTAACGGCTCGACTTTTTAAATTTAGATAAATTAAAGTAAGTGTTATAGTGTTTACAAATTCTCGAGAAAATGCAATACATTAAATATTCAAAAGAAAAACTTAAATACGTCAGACACAAATCAATCAGTTACTTACTTGGGGACGACACTCGACGATGAGGAGGATGACTACGCAGCTGGTTGGATGGCCTCGACCCTTGAGAGGGACTGAGAGTGAGAGAGGTTGAATATGATGAACCGAGAGTGACACAAAGAGACACACGAGAGCAGAGAGAAAAAAAAAAAAAAAAGATTCGGATTTTTTTTCGTGTATTATCATTTAAAATTTAAAAATAAATACGAAATGTTTTAGCTGTCTAACTAGAAGTTGACTTAATATGTATTAATTTTTTCATGTGTCTCTCTCAATCTTAGCTTTCACACGTGCGGGTTAAATAAATTATTTATATAATATGTTTACATAAATATTAAAATATATCCCACTTGTGTTTTAAACTCATAATTTAATTATTCACAAATTTCCCCTAAAGAAAATTAATTTATAAAATAGTCCTCAATAAATTCTTCTTTTTCGAAAAGGCCCCTTGAAATTATATAAAGGCAAAACTATTTGCTGTTTTCCTCCCAAATATTATAATATTTCCACAAATTGCCATTTTCTTTGCTTAATTACCATTTATTTATTTATTTCATTACCCTTATCCATTTAATTAATTATTCTATTTCCATTATTGTCTTATTTATATATATATAACCAAGATCATCGATGTGCCCTGAAACGTGGAATGACATCACGATACATAGGTTGTATTGTTAGGAATCAAGATGACAATATGATACAACGTTCTTGTGTCGCAGACGATTGAACATGCATACACAAGCGTCGTGTGTGGTCAAACAAGCTTGAATTCTACACAAGTTGTGTTCAATTGGCGAAGACAAACTTCGTCGATGGTCTGATGAAACCACAAAGTCGAGCGAAAAATGTGAATGGGGCTTGAGTCTCCCTTAAGGCTTGCTTTGAGCGTGTCAAAATCACGACGCTGCACGGTTGAATAAGTACGATTGTAACAGTTGGTATCAGAGTTATACTTTGTATGTCTAAGTCAAACAAGACAAAGAACTCGAGGGTTGAATGAAAACTTTGGAAGAATCTTGGAAATCTGAAAGAATGTCGGGATTAACGTTCCCAAATTTTTAAAAGTATTGTTATGATAATATATAAAATAAAGTTAGGTGAAATGCAACTTAAAAGATTTAAAAGGATTTGAATAAAATTTAGGTAAGATAGAATAAAGTTTACAAATGAAAGTGAAGCTTATTCCTTTGACTTTGTAAAAGAGACGTCTTTGATTTCCCATTTACACATCTCAATAAAGCTTACAATCCACTAACATATAGATAAGGCTAATTTTGGTATTAAATTTTTATCGGGTATTTTCGCACGATATTTTTATAATTTATAAAATATTATAAAATAAAATAATTATGTCACCGATCTAGAAAAGACGTGTCACTGACTAAGAGATCCTAAGACGTCAATCTGATTCTGATCGTATTATTAAAATTTGATAAAAAAAAATCTAAATTTCAGAAACGAAATCGTTATCACATCGAAGTTAAACTGTCTGTAAACGATGAATTTATACGATAGATAGCTACGTCGTTTTCCATTATCGAGAATGGATAGAGACCATCTTTTTAACACATTTTTATTCACTTTTTCTTTGAAATTAAACTTATCTTCTCATCCATTTGTGGGGGAACACGATGTCTTTAAGATCACAATGGCTAAGATTTTGAAATATTTTGGTGACGGGTCCATAATGGAATAAACAAACAACTTTTAAAGGTTTTAATTGTGTTCGGGATAACTAAGATAATAATAACTTATTTTAAAATTTAGGACGAATAGAATAGAATACGACCTTCGAGCTTTTGTTAGGAACTACAAACGTATGTAATTGTATGATATTGTCGACTTTGAGTATGAACTCTCGATATTTTATTTTTTATTTTTTCAAAATGTTTTATATCAATGGAGATAGTGTTTACGGAGTTTGAAATAAAATATTAAAAAAATAATAATAATTAAACTAAAAATAAAAATAAAAATTATATTTCTCTCTCAAAACTCAGACGAAAGCGACGGCCCTTTCCCTCACTAAGGCTTCGACGGCCCTCCTGCCGGAGACCAACGCGCCGTCGAACGTGGCGGAAGTCAAATAATCACCACACACGTATAGACCACTCTGCACCGTTGGATCTTTCATCAAATCTGACGGTGGAGATTGATTCGGCTGCGCAAAACCAATCCTATACGTCCGTAAATGCTTCCATCCCTCAATCGTTGATTCCCCAAACCAATCCGACATCTCCCGAATAACCTCAGCCGTCAGATCCTCATCTCCAACATCCTCAAATTTCCCGATCAACGATACCGACACCAGCACCTTCTCCGCCGGTCCATACGACGGCGCCACGTTTGTCGCGAAAAACATATTGTTAACAATTCCCTTCCCCGATCCATTCAGAAACAGCACTGGTTCCCTCACCGGAATCCTGTCCCGATCCGCCGCGAAATACAAACATACCGTACTCCTAGGCGGTTTCCGGCTGCCGATTTTTCGTCTTCCGGTTAGCAATTTCTCCGCCTCCGGTTCCTCCACCGCAACGATCACCCCCATTTCGCTCGCTATAATTTCCCCACTCTGTAACTTCACAATTGGCGATTTCGATTCGAAATCGACGGAGACGACTCTGGAATTCAGCAAAATGGTCTCCGGCGGGAGATTTGCTGCTAATTGTTGAGGGATTGCGCCGATTCCGTTGGCCGGAAGAGTATTTTCGCCGAGTGCGAGACATTTGAAAATGAAATTAAATAATCGGGAGGAAGTTTCCAATTCGGGATCGAAGAAAATCCCGCCGAAAAATGGCCGGAAAAAACGGGTGATTATGGAATCGGAAAACCCAATTTCCTTCAACAATTCCATGGTGGAAGCCTCTCCGGCGGTGAAAATTTCCCGATCGGACTTGCCTAGAACTCTGGCTCTGGTGAGCCCAATAAGCAATTTGTCGATGAGCGAGCCAATTGGGTTGGTTAGGGAGGCGAGGGAGTCGGTGAAGTGGCGCAAAGGGTCGGCGACGGTGTGGAATTTGCCGTCGAAGTAGACGAGGGCGCCGGAGTAGAATTTTTGGAGGCGGAGAGATTCGTAGTCGAGGAGGGCTTGAGCTTCAGGGTAGGCGGTGATGAAGATTTGAAAGCCGCGATCGAGGAGGAAGCCGTCGACGAGGTCGGTGCGGACACGGCCACCAACGCCGTCGGAGGCTTCAAGGAGGAGGAATGGGATGTTTTCGGAGCGGAGGTGGGTGGCGGCGGCCAGGCCGGCCAGGCCAGCTCCGACGACGATGACTCCAGTTTTAGTGGGTACAGGAGGGGAGAGGGAAAGGGAGGAGGAGGAGGCTTGGGGAGGCTTGAACACGAGGCTGCCACGTGGGTAAGAAATAGAGTGGCAGGGAAGACATGTTCCGACGGCGCTGAAACTCATTGCTGCCTTTCCGATTTAGTTGGAGTTCTCGCTGGCGATACCATGGTGGTGATCATGGTAACCTTATCCATTTCCTAATTTCATCCCTCTTCTCCGACTGCCACGTGCCCTCTTCTCCGACTGCCACGGTGGTGATCAAGGTCTCCAAGCAAAGTTTAATCTAAGCTAAGGTGCAACATGGTCTCGGTGGGCCTGTTGAACACACTTGTATTGGGCCTAAAACTAGTAAATATAACATGATGAATACACTCAATTTATGCTCATATGATCGATTTATTTATAAAAACAGTATTAAGAAGGATTTGTATGATGTATGTATATGTCAACCTCGAAACAACCAATCGTGGAATGATAACCAATCTTTAAACGCTGGCCTTTCGCACCCACCACATTCTTTGTTTTCGACACGGTTCAATCAATGGATTACAATTTATACCCACCCATCAATCCATACCCGTCCATCAACAACATAAAAATTGGACGTTTTGGAAGCTAACTCAGTTAGAATAAACAATACGTGACTTTAGAATTGCATCATTTCATATCCACACATTCTATTTTTAACTAATGTTCGAGTCTTGTCATTTGATCACTAATTTGTAAAAGAATCGTAATTATTTGAATAACGACATATTAGTCGATGAATATGTATTTTATCCGAATTTATAATAATTATTATTATTTTAAATGAAAATATGTAATTATATAAAACTTGTGGTTGAGAATTTATTATTTTATTTTATTTTTTTAAATAATGATATTATCATTAAATTCCATTTTGGATGCCCCACTGTCCAATGAATGCTCCGAAATATCTCCATCAACTGAAACCCTCATTTGGTCGAATATTCAGTTGATTCATTTACGTCTAATCAAATTATTAATTTAAAATTAACTTAATTATGAGTTAGATTTACAAAAATATTTGTATAGTTCACAATAATCTTTACGAAATTGGGCTGTAACTCTTTTTTTCGGTTGGTCAGGTTGACTCGACCAAAAACATTGTCAACCCACAAACCGACTCAAACTCTTTAGTTTTCAAAAAAATTCAACTAAGCCCAAATCGAGAATAAATCTAACCCGGGTTGGGTACTCGTGATCGGTCGAGGTCCCCATTTTTCTTTTTGTAATTTAGAGATTAAATACGGCCGTAAAAAATATTTTTAACTCTATAATTTAATTTTTTCAATTTTCAATATTATTTTGAAGATAATAAAATCCAATTTTCCATAAATAAAAAATGGACAAATTTGTGGACAAAAAATATTGTTGCATCATTGGAATCTTTGGACGTGTATTAAATATTCTGGCACGATTTTCTATATATATATGGTCCTTATATTTTTAAACCCTAAATAAATATCGACCCGTTATTAATTTAGATTACCAAAATTCGTTTTTTTATACAATGATTTTTATTTTTTTTAATTTAGTAATTATAGGCGAGAAGTCGAGCAACTTAGTAGTTCCAGAGGTTGTTGCCTCGTGGCCAACTCTCAGGGTCATTCTAAAGAGATACGTGAATTGTTCTAATAAATATTATTATTTGACCCGTCAATTAAAAAAAATAAAAAAATGGGTCATATTAGTTTATTCCCGAGTTAGGAAAAAAGTAATCCTTTCTAGATAAATTAGGGTTTCGTCAAAGATGAGTAGACATCGAGTACAACATAATGCAAGAAAGATGCCAAAATTGATCGTATGATGACCTATATACTATTTAATAATATTATTGAATATATATAATTGAAGTATAATGTGGACATATCACAAACGTGTTTTGTTGTCTAACTCGTGAAGCCCTTAAATGAAAATAGGAATAAAGTGAGGGGCCTAGCTTGCAAAAACAAACAAAATGAAGGACAAAAATAATTGAGAGATGGACATAGTACCGAGTTGTCGATTCGGATTTAATCGAACCAGAACAAAATCACACACACATATATAATATAATATAATTATATTAATTTTGTAAAATCGTGGTGGAATTGAATCCCTGTGAGCAGATATTGTCCTTTTTGGATTTTGCCTTTTGGGGTGCCCCTTAAGGCTTTAAAATGCGTAGGGGAAGGTTTCCACACCCTTATAAATGGTGGTTTGTTCTCCTACCCAACCAATGTGGGACATCATAATCCACCTTCTTTCGGGGTCCAGCGTCGTCACTGGCACTCTTTCCTTTCTCTAATCAATGTGGGGCCGACCCCAAATCCACCCCTTTTGAGTCCTAATGTCCTTAGGTGGGACATCACAATCTACCCCCCTCTTCGAGGCCCAGTGTCCTCGATGACACTCTTCCCTTCCTCCAATTGATATGGGACTGCTCCCAAATTCACCCCCTTGGGGCCTAGCGTTCTTACTGGCACACTGTCTCGTGTCTACCCCTTTCGGATAACAGCGAGAAGGCTGACACATCGCCCCGTGTCTGGCTCTGATATCATTTGTAACGCTCTAAATCTACCGCTAGTAGATATTGTAACGGTCAAAAGATTATAGGGACCAAAATAAAGATTTTAAAAGTACATGAACCAAAATGAACTAAAATGGAGAAGAAAAAGACTCAAATATTATTTAAATATTAATTAATATTTTATATATATAAATATTTGAATTCTATTTTCGTTCCCGAATTAAAAAATTAAAAAGAAAAAAAAAACTTAACATTTAATGACATAATTATATTGACTTAATAAATAATTTTTTTAAAAAAAATTAAAGCGCGTCCCTAACGATTCTGAAGTAAAAAAGTGAAAAATACCCCACGAATATCGAGAAGTCGCGTTTACACACACATTGGAGTCAATGTTTGTTGCTGCGAATTTGATTAACACGGATTCGTGGTTCGTTGCAATTAATCCTCTCGTTTTGGGTATCTGAAACGCGTAATCGTAATCTCCAATCAGGCGAAGGGATCCGATTCTTCGTTTTTGGTGAGCTTTTCTTCACGAGGAGGTAATGCGAGCGTCTGACAGGTGGGTTCTCCCCTTCTTTTTTTCTTTTTAATCTTCCCCTTCCCGTTTCTACTGCTTTGATTTTGATTTTGATCGAATGGCGACACAGAAATGAACACCGCAAACTGTTCCGCATGTGGATAAAACTGCTCCGTCTACTCAATTCCATTACGCTTTCATTCTGGCTTATACGACAAAAGCCACCCACGTCTTTGGATTGGAAGCGGAATCCGGAATGAGTTAGTTCCCCCCCTTCTTTTTAATTTTGATTTTGTTCAAGATTTCTGTCCTGTTCTTGATATATCTGCCAATTACTCACTTATCTGAGACTGAAATCATGAACCATTGTTCCCATGTTCTTAGTTCTTGAGATAAGAGATAAAGAGAGAGGGCCTTGTTGATTCGTTTTCTTGAATGGGTGTCTTAGTTTCTCTCTTCAAGCAGAGGGGTTTTATCATTTTCTTGAATCTCTCGTTTCTATCAGTGGCGGCTTGTGCTTTTTTTGCCATTCGTTTTCATCCTCCAGAATCCTATTTCCACGTTCTTAACAAAAGCTCGAGAAGAATCCATGGAAGCCCACAGGATGATTGCCGGAGTTTTCTTGGTCTAACTGATTTTGAAGCCAAGTGCTCTGTTCTTAAATCCAGCAACCCTTGTAACACCCAAGGCTATATAGATTATCTTTACATTTTCTATTGTCAGTATGGAAGTTTTAGCATTCTGGGGTATACTCTGCTGTTTCTGTGGCTTCTTGTGTTGTTCTATCTTCTGGGTAATACTGCCTCTGAATACTTTTGTTCTTCCCTTGAGAGCTTGTCAAAAGTGTTGAATCTGTCCCCTACAATTGCTGGTGTTACTCTGCTTTCTCTTGGCAATGGGGCACCTGATGTTTTTGCTAGCCTTGTTGCCTTTATGGGGGATGGAACTAGTGATATTGGATTGAATACTGTTCTTGGTGGAGCTTCGTTTGTTACCTGTGTCGTCGTCGGAATCATAAGCATTTTGCTGCGTCGGCGACGAATTAAGGTGAATAGGTCTGGCTTCATTAGAGATGTTTTGTTCTTCCTCTTGGTTCTTTTGTCTGTTTTCTTCATACTGCTTCATGGTCATATCAATCTATGGGGTGCCATTGGGTTTTCTTCCATGTATATTGTTTATGTTTTGGCTGTTTATGTCTCCCATGCTCAATGGTTGAGTTTTAGAAGTGATATCTGTGAACCCCTTTTGAAAGAGCCACCAAAGGATGAGTTTGAGGGTGTAAATGAATCACGGTACAACGATGACAACGACGACGATAACGATGATGTTAGGATCGATGTATATGATCTCTGTTTTTGTCCAAGATTATCGCCTTCGTGTCTCGTTTTCCTTCGCATTCTTGAGATTCCTCTTTACTTGCCTAGAAGATTGACAATTCCAGCCATTGCTGAAGAAAACTGGTCTAGACCATATGCAGTTGCTTCAGTGATATTGGCTCCTCTTCTCTTATCTGTTCTATGGGCCTTTCACCACCAAACCGACGCGACACAGTCGAACCTGATCATCTGTGTCGTCGCTTTGCTGCTCGGGATTAGTTTTGGGATTGTTGCATTTGCAACAACTGAGAATTCAACCCCACCAAAGAAATGCTTGTTCCCGTGGCTAGCAGCTGGCTTCACCATGAGTTTAACATGGAGTTACATTCTAGCTCAGGAACTAGTAGGCCTATTGGTTTCACTTGGCTACATAATGAACATAAGCCCTTCAATCCTAGGACTTACCTTCCTAGCCTGGGGGAACTCTCTTGGGGATTTAGTTGCCAATGTGACCATGGCATTGAACGGCGGGCAGCGAGGCGCTCAAATCGCCATCTCCGGCTGCTATGCCGGTCCCATCTTCAACACTTTGTTCGGCCTAGGAATGTCCCTCGTCGGCGCATCGTGGAAGAAGTATCCTCAGTCGATCGCCATCCCTCCCGACCCGTATGTCATGGAGACATTGGGGCTGTTAGTCGGCGGGTTGCTTTGGGCACTCGTGGCCTTGCCAAGGCGAGAGATGAGGCTTGATGCAGTGTTGGGCGGAGGCCTTTTGGCTATCTACTTGACCTCTTTGCTCTTAAGGCTGTTGCAAGCTTTTGCTTCCTCCCATTAGAATCATTTGAAAAGAAAATTACAGATGTAATTGTATTTTTTAAAAGATTATGATACAATTACACTTAGTTTATTGTAAATTAATCCCACTTGGTTAAGAGTAATTTGATCTGTGAAGATTAATTGTATAATGGTCCTTTGAATTTCTAAATTTTGCAGAAAGGGGCCTCAGTTTTCTTGGTATTACAAAATTGACTGCCGACCAAACTGTCTTTCAAGATAAGAATTGTTGACTGTGGCCGACAACTTGAAATTGACTGTTTTCTACTTAGTCTAGAAGTTCTCAATGTATATTTTATGATTTTTATTAAATTTTTAAATATTTTTCAGCTGAAAATTTTAATTATCCAATTGTTTTTTTTTTTTTTTTTTTAATATTTGTTTTATTATTTTTACAGCTCAAATTTTCCTCATTCAAGGGCTATTTCAGCCGCCATTATATATCCATTTTTGCACATATCTCAAAGCTACATTATCCACGTGGTAAACAATTAGAAATAAATTAATAATGAAAATATAAATTATTATTTTTTATGTTTAGACTCCACAGTAGACATTTAAAATTTAGAGTAATGTGTTTTGAATTAATAAATAAATACGTGTCGCATAGAAAAAAAACAATTATGTATAAAATAGTAGAGTGCGTTATATCAATAATATACTCAATATAATATAGTGTTTATGAATGATAGACATATGTGAATGATATATAATAAATAAGTTGTATGTAGTAATAATATGATATATTTATGAACGATAGACACATGTCAATGATATATGAATAATAAATAAGTAGTATGTAATCATAATATGATATATTAAGTGTATTTCTTCTGTACTTTTTCAAGAAAAAAAAGATTACGTAAAACAATTTGGGTCAAGATGTATTGAAAACGCTGTCCTCCACTTATAATTAGTTATTCGAAACTCTACTCCTAATATTTATCTGTTAAAGGAGGTTACGTATAGTTAAACTCTTTTACAGTTGATTTAACGTTTTTATTATATCATAAAAAAAACGAATAAATATTTAAGAAGCAAAAAAAAAGAGAGAGAGAGAGGTTGTTCTTATAATTTTTTTTCAAATATCCACCATCCATCTTATACATATTTAAATATTATATGTAAAAAAAAATGGTTGTTCTTATAAAATTTTATTATATCATATATATATATATATATATATCAAAAGATTAAAAAACATTGACCTAGCATGCCGAGAATTAAATGGCTACGCAAGTCAATTGAAGTCTTTTCACTAGCGCTCCTGGAAAAGTCTGTTGTTTTCTATTTCGAATCACAAGGCTAGGTCTGACCTCCGAACCCCCTCTCTTCTTCTCTTCACGTACATGGGTTACTTGCCCCTATCCATAATAGACGAACTGGAACCACCAAAGGCACGAGAGAGAGAGAGAGAGAGGATACTCAACTCACCTCCCCTCTTCTACAATTAGGTGAAGATCAAGGGAGGGGGCCCAAAAACCCCGACGTGAAACATTTCACCGCACCACACGACTATTTCGTCGAGCTCTCTCTTAGACGTCTCCTCTATCAAATCACAAATGTTGGTTCTCATTGTGTTAGTACGCAAGAAGAACAAATAAGTACGAGTGTGTGTCTGACTTCAAAAACCTAAATACATCGAAAGCAGTAGCTTTGAAACAACACTACTTCGAGCGTCTCCAATAACCGTAGATGCATTCAAGTGAAGAAACTCAAAAGATCAATCTCGAAACTCTTCTCTATAAATATAAAATTATTACAATTTTTAGGAGTTGGATTAAATTATTATATAAAATTGACCTAATTCTGTTCCAGCATTTGAAACGGGATAAAATACTCCCTCCAAAAATATTGCACTAAAGAATCGATAAGGCAATTTTGCGAGCCGTCAATTGGGAGTGGATAAAATCCTACAATCATCCCTCTCTTCCCCTTCTCTGTCTGCTTCTCGAACAACACAGAGCAGCTGCAGCTACAGATCAACAATGTTAGCGAACACTTGCGGCCTCCATTTCCGACCATGCTATTCCCACGCAGCCGAATTCTCTCATTCTGGGACATGCCAAATCTCTCTATCTTCCTATTGCCCTCGCTTCCATGCTTTCACCAAACCGAAGCTCTCGTCTCTGTCGCTTCTTCGCAGTAAGAAAAATGGTAAGAGTTTGGTCACCAGGGCTCTTACGAATTCTGCGGAACCTGACTCGGTTGCGGCGAGCGATGGAATACCCAGTTCTTTGCGGCCTTTCTCTGTCAAAATTCCTGTTGGGGATAGACATGTAAGTCTGAGAAATTTTACTTTCGGCGACTTTAATGTGTTAACGAGGAGTTTATGGAAGTGGGTTTATGTGGATTATTTTATTTTGTGGACTGTATGGAGAACCTTTTAAATCTATGTACATGTGTTGCCAAAAGAATTTTTTTGTTGTTCGAGTGTTATGTGAGCCAGTTGCCTATGTAAAAATAAGAAGTGTAAATTCAAGTTAATGCAAGTGAGTGACTGCGAGTTGTTAGCTGAAATATATAAAATTCTGCCATTGGGTTATATGGAGATGTTGTTGAGGATTTTTGAAATACATTGACTAATCAAGGGGTTGATCATTGGTTTATAAGTAAGGAATACATCTCCATTGGTACGAGGCCTTTTGGGGAAACCAAAAGTAAAACCATGAGAGCTTATTCTCAAAGTGGACAATATCACAATCATTGTGGAGGTTCGTGATTCCTAACAGATGTAAGCTAAATAAGTTTGAGTGAAGAAAGAACCTTGTGAGTGAGAGAGCAAACTTGAAAATTCAGGGGATGGGGGGTGGGGGAGTTCTTCTTCAGTTTATTGTGAGCTCTAAGTAATTTGCTTTTGTTTGGTTAATGTATGTTAATGGAGGGAGGCCGGCCATTCCAATGGATGTGGCGAACCTAGTAGAACCACTTAGCTTGTTGTCTTATTGTACTTGTACTCTGCTTTAGTTTCTTTGTCTGTGGCCAAAATTGTAGCTTTTATCTGGTTGTCTGGACGAGAATGTTCCATACATGTGCGGCTTTACTGGAGCTTTTGTTCTGCATTATGAATCTTTCAGATCTTGGTCGAGACGGGCCATATGGGGAGACAAGCTAGTGGTGCTGTTACAGTAACTGATGGAGAAACTGTAAGATGAATTTCAAATTCATATAATTCTTTGCTTGCTATTGCTTTAATGACAGTATCTTGTAGCTCATTCTTTTATCGATTATGCATGCCTCATTCTCCACTCCCTCTTTAATCTCCCCATTTCGGAAGATGTGTATCATAAGAAGGTCAGTTTTTTTTTTTTTTTTTTTTTGCTTAGCAGGTCTAGCACAAGAGATTATCACCATTGACCCCATCCATATGTAGTCTCTTGTTATTCTATGGTCTTAGCGATGCAACATTTGTAAGAGAGCATATTTTATGGGATTCTCAATTTGGAGGTGCAATTTGGGATAGCATTCCGGAGATGTCTAGAGTGTAGTTGGCTCATACTAGTTTGCGTGGGATCTAGGGTGAAGGAGGTGCACTGTTTATTTGCCTTTCGTAGATAGGATCGACTCGATGGTGGGCTACTTTTTTTTTTTTTTTTTTTTTTTTTTTTTTTTTTTTTTTTTTTTTTTTTTTTTTTTTTTTTT